AAGAGGCTCAGCAAGGAGAGGAGTTATAAGTACCTCAGGGAGGCAGCTGATTCCAGCTCCCCCACAAATGAAATCTTTCAGCAAATAAGCAAGCACCAGGATCCCACAGTCCCCATGGCAACAAAGCAAACCCAGCAGGCCTCAGAAGTGAGTACAGTTTTGGAGAGTAAGTGGGAAAAGCAGGGACAGGAAATGGAAGCCTGAGTTCGGGAGAAAGGGAGTTTTGCCAAGCTAGTGATCTTTGCTTTAGACCATGCATAAAACCTCCAGTCCGTAAAATCTCCAGGTCCGATTTCTGTACTGTCAGTCTGGAATGTCCAGAAAGTTCACTCTGCTCCCGCAGCACGTGCGAGTCCAGAACCAAAGCTGGTCAAACTTTTGGCTCGCATAATCTAGTGGTTTCTTCTGATTCATGAAGGCAAAGCTTCACATTTTTGCTGTCAGTGCAGATTTATGTCATACCACGTACAGGAAACCAGACTTAAAATTCCCAGATCACAGTCTGCAGCACATATTGCAGGAACGGAGAAGCAGGGGAAGGGGGCAATGCATCATTAAGGCCTTCAGGGTTTAGTTGACAGGACAAAACAAGGTGTTTCTTTCCCACAGACCTGTCATTTCAGTCTCAGAACACCGTCTGCATTTGGCCATGGAAAGTCAGATGCTAAGCATCCATGCACACAACAAGCATTACCCATTGTTTGCAGAGAAGCCCTCTTTTTTGGCAGTTTGAATTGGACTCCTTCCAGCACACTTGCTTTTGGTCATTCTTTTAACTCAGCAGCCAGTTACAGGTTTCCATAGTGACAAGACGTAAAAGCTTGATTAACTCTCCTCATGATCTTCTTCCACCCAGGCCACAATTTTCCCCTCCCAACCAGGAATGATGTCATCATCATGAAATACCTATAAAAAAAGGGAGTCCAGTCATGTCTGGAGTCTGTACACTACTATTTTACAGCGTGCATGGCTAGCTTAGATTTCATTATGTAGCACAGAGAACATGTACCTCACCCGTCATTCACATGTGAGAGTAACGTTTTACCGAAGACCTGAAAGCAACAGATTAGGCCCCTTTAACCAGTAGCCATCAAGATTAATATGGGCATGTTTTTGACAGGAAAGGTAAAATAAAGACAGGAAACAACATGCCTTTTCTGATCCAGACTACAATCTCCAGCTGTTTCTGTAGAACAACTACCTAGTCATCTGACTGTTCCCAGAAAGGGTAACCCTTTGCGCTTAACCAGTTTGTGAAACAGGAGCCACCCAAGTAACATTTAATGAGTTCAATCCACACCAACACCAGTCTAAGCATAAACAGGGCTGTAATGCAGTACACAAAGGAAAAGATGCCAACAGTTATCTCTGAAAAACCTTTAAAAGGAAGTAGGAGAATGTTTTTTGAATAAACCACATTTGCCTAAAGCATCTCTCATTGCAACAGGTTTTATAAAGCCACTTGAAGAGCTAGAAGTGTAGTCTGCGCTTTTGCCCTGTGTCCCCTCCGCAATGCTGTGTCACAGGCTGTCTTTGCCAATAGCTAGCTCTTTGCTCAAGGGACTCTGCAACCCCCAAGCAATTGCAACCACATTCATGTAATTGCTCTGGCTGGGGATGAAAACATCCCATTTTAGCACCTTATAAGAGGAGCTTAATCTACAGTTATGAAAATAGACAGTCTATTCAGGGGCAAGTTCAAAGATTTCATTAGTTTAGAAGTGATGTGACCACGGTCTCCAGGGTTGCATAACACTGAACACAAAGCAGCTGATAGCTAAATTCCACACTTACCTCCTCCTTGACTGTGCCAAACTCTGGATCCAGGGCTTTGAAGTGGTACCGGTGGGTTCCTTCACGATCAATAGCTACCTTAAAATCCTTCAGAGTCACTTCCCCTAACCTACAAGGGAAGAGTTTAGCACTATCCCATGGTATACCATTACATGATTTAGCTCAAGTGTTACTACATGGCATGCAGAGCCACAGCACAAGTCTAGCTATGCATGTGGTACCCTGGCCACGGGAATGTGAAGAGTGTGCCCCTCCAGGAACACACCTGTCAAACCCAAGGTCCTCTTCAGAGGAAAAATTGCTTCCTGATTTACAAAGAACCACCTCAAAACAGCCTTTTTCACTTTCCCTTTTGCATTGACAACCATAGTTGTTTTGACAGGAGCGTCCTGCACTACATGCCACAATAGAACTGCCTGGCTGCTTTCTCTTGCTCTTGGAAGTTAAGAGAAACTCTCTTCTCTTGGAAGAGATTAATCTCGTGGGGCTCTCAAACAAATACATCAGCTAGGGGACTACTTTAGGCAATTTTCCCCAGACAATGGTATGAAATTCAATGCCCAAGTTAATGCACAGGGAACCTGTGCTAGTGGTGACCATACTCAGAAGAGATCAGACTAATGCTTTAAGAGAAAAAAGCACCTCTCCACATCAGTGTCAGCAAGGCAAAGCCAGGCCTCACCTTTTTGGTATATTAACCATGAAAGGTGTGAGGGAGTGGTCAGTGAAGTACAACACTTTGGTGCAGGCACTGGTGCTCATCACGGGTGTGCTGCGAGAATGAGGCAGTTCTGCAAAGAAAAGAGCACAATCATTGAGGAACAGCCTGTCTCCTGCCATAACAGGAGACAAAATGGGTGGTCTCAGCAAATTTGCCATCACAGCAAAGAACCTGCAGCAGTGGAGGGGGATACTGTCTGCTAAAGGGAGAGGTACAATTTGCATGCAGAGAATACATGACTGACTGCAAGACGCAATTTTCCTGCTGCAGGGGCAGGGGGTGGAGTCTGCAAAAAGGGACAGGTACAGTTTGCATGCAGAGAACACATGACTGGCTGCTCTAAAAACTGCAGTTTATGGGAGAGGAGGGAGAACCCAGAAAACCCTTCCTACAACCTTCTGAGTTCCTCTCCTACCTTACTCTGCATCTTGTACTCCAGGCTACCCTGCTGCTGGACACTACGATACAGTGGAAAGGTGGAGGCCTCTGTCTTCCCCTAGTACCCACAGTACCCTACAACCTCATAGACTTTCTAGGTGACATTTACAACCAACATTGGAAAAAACAGCCTTCATGATGAAAAACAAATGTGAAGCTGCTGCAGCTGGAGCCAGGAAACATTATGCCAGAAAGGGCTGTGCTGTTACACGTATATGAAAGGAGCTAGACACTAAATGGGAGAATAGGGGAAGAGGCAAATACAGTTATCTGTGTCCACCAGATGGTGCAAACCAGCAGGAAAGCTGAAATAACATCACATTTCCCAGTCATCCCAGGGGTAATTGTTTGTCACAGTTATACTGCAATACTCCAAAGTGGCCCAGACAGACTCCCACTGTGATCGTGCTTTACAAACAAGCAGCCACAGAAGCTGGAGGTGGAAGATTCCCAAGGAATGCTATGCCCTGGACTCTGGCCAGGAAACCTGAGCAATGAATTTGGGAATGGGAGGACAGGAGCTGAAAGGCACTTACTGGATTTGGGAGGCCAGGAGTCTCTACACTCATTTGTTGCTCTGCTTGCTGGTGACTTCCCCCGGATCTAGGGTGCAAAGCCAAAAGAGTGAGAACAGTGTCGCTTCCCAATTGGAGCTCTCATTGCTGCTTAACTGTGGGTTGTGTATGAGGGGCAGAAGTTGAGAGCCAAGTGTTCCTAGGAAGCCTTTACCCTTCTCTCTTGCCTCTTCTGTGTTTCCATGCGGTACAGTCGTTCCATCAGGCTGGAGATGCCCTGCTCCAGGCTGTCAATGGTGTGGTGCTGTGGATCATGGCCACTGAAACTGTTCCTGAGGCTGCGAAGGGCATCACGAACCAGCTGCAAGTCATTTGTCTACCCAAGAGACCATAAATCAGTCAGACTAACTCCAGGCTGCTTTCTTCCCATCTAAAGCCACAGATCTTAGAAGGGAGAAATATCTCTTAACAAGATAATAGCTTGCAGGACATCTGGATCCTTCATCTGCATCTGTCTGGGAGAATATCCTTTAGGTGCACTTACCCCTCGGTGGGCTGTGGGAGCAGCTCCTTTTCCTGCTGTCTGGAGGAAGCCATTGCTCTGAGCACTATGACCACTGTAAGCCATCACCTGTTCAGGAGAAGATGTGTGTGCCAGTAGAAAATTAAGTGTTAGGACCTCCCCAAAGATCCCAATTTGCAAACTTCAAAATAAGGCATGAAAACATTCCACATCAGTGATAAAACTCTCATCTCCTACCAGGTAACTTACATTCACTAAGGAGTGTGCAGGCAGTCCTACAGGTCAGAGCACAAACATGATTCCTCACATACAGGTGGGAAAAAAAGAGGCAGACAGGAAGGGGCTTGCTGCTACATCACAGAGGGCTCTACAAGCTCTAGTGAGTACAACCAGTGTTCAAGTGGCACTGTGCAGGGACTGATATTGGGGCTGGCACTCTTTCCATTTTTCAGCAGGAAAAGGAAGAAATAAGAAGCTAAGCCCTTGTCTAACCATTAGCCAGTAGCGGAGCTGAAGCTATAAGCCAAGAGTCTTTGGCTTCCACTCACTCCTGTGCTCCCCTCACTGTTTCATCCCTTAGGATTTTGACACAAGAGGCTAAACCAGAGTGCTCGCTGCTGAGAGCCTGGGTAAGTTGGATGCTTTGTGGAGTCTGGCTGCCTTGGTTTGGGGCATGGACAATGAGACTGCAGAGCCAGGCCTCCCTGGGATGAACTAGATGATTTCTGGAGATAGGTAGCTAAAGGGTGCTGGACAGAAACATCACTCCAACAGTCTGATGTGTAGAACAAGGCTTCCCATACCTCTTCAGCTTCCCTCTTCATGCAGTGAGCTAGCAGGGCTTCTTTGTGCTCCAGCTCCCGCTCCAAATCCACCTATGGGGGGAGAAGAAGAGTCAGCACAAACTGAGCCACCAAGGTAAGTGCCAGCTCTCAAGGCATCAGTGCAGCCCACCTGCTCCATACCTGCTGGTAGCTAGCCTCAGAAAGCTGCCTAAGCATTTCATCCAGTTTGGTCTGATGCTGCTGTAAATGCCACTCCTTCTGGCCCAGTTCTTTCTGCAACACAGTAATCAAGAGAATCAACAGATTGAGAGCAAGATTTACAATCATCTTCCCATAGCAGGGAAGGTTATGTTGTCTGCCAGGATCAGGTTCCTCTACAGGCTGACTTACACAATGTAAGTACTTCTAGCTAGATATTAGAACTGAGTGTCAAAGCTTTTTTTTTTTTTTTTTGATCAGTCAGGTTGTTGTTGCCTGGAGTCCCCTTGCCCAGAAAAGATCCACTACTGAGGCCAGACAGCTGTCCCAGAGAAAACAGATTCCCAAAGGATCAGTGGATAATCAGGTGACTCAACCTAATCTGACAGGCTTCTGCACAAGTGTTAGATACTCAGCAAGCCATCACAGAAAAACCATGACAATAAAAAGATCTACTATAAAAAGCTGTGGGCAGAACACAAAGAACGTAAGACCCCTCCATCTCCTTACAAACATCCATGGCTATTGGAACTTATTCACTATCCACAATGCCTTTGCCAGAGGTGACAGTGCTAGGGAGACAGTAGTCGCATTCACAAAACTGAAGAACCACCAGATGCTGCCCCCAAAGCCTCCAGTGAAGACAGGTTCCATTACTTTGTATTCTGCCAGTAGCCGGTTTCTCTCTTCAACCTTCCTCTGAAGATCAACCTGCAGAAGTAACGCATAGGTGTGAGGCAGGTATTCCTGGAGAGTTAGTGACACCCTCTTTGCCTCTTGTGCTAAAGGATGACCTGAAATCAAATATGTGCAGAGTTTAAGGGAGCTGTGTCTAAGGATGGCAACCTTTTGGACAGGACAGTTTCTTCCTTGCCCTTCTCTCTCCAGAGACATTGTACATGGCAGCTCCATCTGTCAAAGTGCCACTTGCTAACCCAGGGAGAACAATGAGGAAAGAATGCAACTGTACTGAAAACATCATGGGAAGCCCCTCCCTGTTTCAGATTAAGGTCTTGGAGGACAGGAAGTGGAAGTGAAGAACAGGATAATAATCTAACCCTCAGCAGCACAGTGACTCACGTTCTGGTTGTGCAACTCCTCCTTGTCCATGTTTGCTCTCAGCAGCTCCTGTTTTAGCTGAAGAACTGAAGCATCCTGTTGAATCAGCCTTTGCTGTAAAGCATCCTAGGAAACAATATTATCTGTAGGAAGGTGCAAGACAGAGGCAGAGATCCTTCCTTGGGAAGTGACTGACCTAAACCAGTGGCCACAACAGAGTGGGGCCACCCACAGGGCTGAAGTGTTGCCAACCACCCAAGAGAGCAGGAGGTATAGAGATCTGCCCAATGGGCTCTCAGCTCTTCTGCCCTTCTCTTACCCAAAAGTGATCTCCCTGCCAACCTACCTGGGACAGAGGGATTTCTGTGCTTCTACCTGAACTTCCTGCTTCAGAAGTGGCCTGACAATTTGCTCTTATGGAAGAAAACAGCAGTATCTTTGGAGGGTCTTTTCACTAGCCTCCAGCTACTGCCTCCAGCTATGCATCTGCAGCATCCAGAGGGCAGAAAGAGGCCAACATCAGCCAAGGACACAAGGAAACTTAAGCTCTCAATGCGACCTAGTTTGCAATGAAATCCTCTCTGAATCGGCCAAAGACAGCACTAATTCTGCACCTTTCACTCAGTGTTACCCAGAAGCTGATAGCTCTACCTTGGACAGCTACGTCTCATTGCTTCCTTCACAGGAGCCTGACAGGCAGTTCTAAAAATACCTCGGCTCAGGAGTAGATTATTAATGTGCAGAACTCCAGAGGGAGAAACTGAGAAAACTTAAGCTTAAGTTATGAAAAATGCTACAGCTGAAGAGGACAAGGAGAGCCCCATGCTTTTTCCTCAGCTGTGAAGAATGAGTTCACTGGGGCAATCCTACTGTGCTTACCCCAAGACAAGGGCGGGGGGGAGGGGGAAGAGCCATGAGAACCAAGGCGGCATCCTATGCCTCATTTTATTTAGGGAAAACAAAAAAAAGAGGGCACATTTGACCACAATCTTACAGACAGAAACAGAACCCAGGAGACCTAACTCCTTGCGCCTGCCTTAACTGCAGTCTCTCCCCAGAGCCAGAAACAGACCATAGGATCCCCCATCTCCAAGTCCCCTAATACAACTCCCTCCAAAATCTAAGATTCCTCAGAGGTGTATGGTTGCTACTGGCCCTACTCATGGGCTGCAACAGACTCCAAAGCTTTACTATTTATTTTTGATGAAATGCCCCTTTCCTCACCTTTATTCCCTGTAGGTTTCGAGCTTCTTGTTTGTATTTCAATAGCTCCTTCTGTAAACGCAACACAATTTGATTAAATGGTATCTTGTTACCCCTGCAGAATCAACCAAGTCGGTGTTCTCTGTCCCCAGACACCTGCTTCAGAAGAAAGCACATCCCACCTTTTCCCCCACATCAAAGAGCATGTCAGGTCCTGAGCCGTTTTAATGAGTTACATGACAAACAGTTGAGCAGCTCCTTAAACACCTGCTATTAAAGTCATGAGAGAAAAAGATTGCGTAGCCCCACAAATCTGTCATTCAGGGCAATGTCAAATACTTCTCTCCCAGCATCAGAACTGGTCCCAGAGCCAACATCAGCAGAAAGCTGAACTAAGGCAGGTTTGACAAGGCAGAATCTTCTTAGCTGCATTTATTTCCTACTTGAAAGGCTGTTTATATTCAGACATGTCTAGAAACTTAACAGCTGTCCTGGATAAAGTTTTGAGAAGCTAGTACAACCTAGGTATCTCCAGCTTCAAAAGCATGCAGGAAAAAAATCTATTTCAGGGCTTATTTAAGTTCCAGTAACACTTAAGATACTTGCTTTATTGGCAAGTGACTTTACCAGCATTGGCTTGAGGCAACATGGGGAGGCAGCATATATTTTTCTGGTGCTATCCCACAAACTTTTATTAACTGCTAATACAGATACAATAAACACTTCCCAGCCAAGTACTGTGAGTGCTCTCCAGGTCAATGAATTATGATCTCAGGGAAGCAAGTATCTATGCTCCTTGAGGGATGGAGATCCCACACAGCAGAATATGGGAACAGAGTTGGAGCCCCAACACAATATAACCCCCATATCATCAATTGTGCTGTCCACTCCCCGATCTGTGCCCCCCCGCCCCCCCCAATCTAGTAGGACAGGGTCTGCAAATATGTCTTGACCCAAACCTCTTTCCCCTTCATCTGCTCCCCTCTAACCTTCAGGTCTTGATTTTCTTCCACACTCTGGTCCAGGCGACTTCGGATTATGATCTGAATGTAAAATACCATGGTTATTACTGTGCAAGACACCTACCCTGCCTGTGGCAGAACAGTGCAAAGGGCAGCTTGATCACAGAAATATAGGTACAGCAATGTGCTCACCAGCTGCTCTTCGGGGCAAGCTCCACGTTCACAAAGTTCAAAGGACCCTTCCTGTTCATCCTCAGGTAAAGACCCATTAAGTAACAAAGCCTGGGAAGATGAACAAAAAAAAAAACCCTCTTCAGGGGTTTCAAAGGAAAATAGGCTAGCTGCAGCTGCGGTTAACAGTCATGCATATCAACAGTCTCTGAACAGTTTCATTTTTCATTTCTGCTGACTTACTCCCTTCAAAAAAGAGAATTTTTCAGGAATGAGCAAGACTACTTATACCCTGAAAAAGCTCTCCCAGAGATATTTGTCAGCCAATACTTTTCCCCACAGAAAGACACCAAGCAAGGATAACAACTTCAATTTTCAGGGAGTGAAGTCTGTCTCAGGCTTCAGTCCAAGGGTAGCCTTCACTACAATAACAGATTTGAAGTCTAATGCAGCGACTGAACTAGGTTTACATTGTAAGGCTTTTCTTCTCGGATGAGACTGAAGTGTTCCCCCTTAAAGAAGCCATTCTAACTACACATCTACAAAAGACTTGAAAAATAGGATGTCCAGGGAAGCCTGTTCTACACTAGACAAGACTGAGACACATTCAAAACTGCTGTTCAAGTGAGGGAAGAGCCATAACCCAGACAGACTGAAAATCTTAAGCTATGCCCTGTGCTTGAAGAAGGCTACTAGAAGCACAATGTTAACTTCTTCAGCAGCTCCAAGGCAGCCCTGACATCTGCAGGAAGATGCCAGGATTCCCACAGTAGACTGAATCCAGCCTGAAGGAGGGTAAAGCATTCACTGTAGGAAGTGTCATGAGCAGGACCAGGCCAGATCTCCATCAGGGTATATCAATACTGGTTTTCTCTAGCTGATGGTTTTTACATTGACCTTTCTGTCTCTAACTTCCAGGACTCAGGGCATTTGGTATGTGCCAGGACACTGCATGCAACTGGAAAAATTGGAAAAAGTCATGCCTCTCTCAGTTAGCTTTCTATTTTATTTGTTTGAATGCCATGGCTAAAACCAAAATATCCTATTTGCAGTAATACTCCAGCCCCAAAAGCCTTCAAGGCTGACAGGTCAGGTTCTGCTTGCTGACATTATCTTCCACCGAAGAGCTGCAACTGCTGCCAAATAGCAAATAGCAACCTGTACTCAGTTAATGCAAAAGCTCTTTGGAAAACTGTCTTCTGAGTGCATCCCAAAGTCTTCCCAGCAGGACACAAGCAAGAATCACACAGGAATGTAAAAAGCTGCCATGGTTTTAGTGCCTTATGGGGTATACATACATCAGGTCCCCACTTTTTCAATCAGACTCTCACGAACTGGAGTCTCTTAAATATTGAGCAAGAGGGGGCAAATCAATTCATGAGATCCAATTTCTTGGCTAGCAACATCAGCTGCCTCTTCCTAACCCCAGGGAATGAGGGGGCAGCAATGCCAGCTGCTTGTCCTCACTCCTGAAACATCGGATCAGGGTTGGAGGAACAGGACATGCCAGTTCCTCCAGTGCCACCTCTCCCTGCTCCCAGTGGGCACATAATGCAGCCAGATTTTACCAGTGCACCAAGCAAATCGCTTTCCCCCGCCCCGCCGGCCCCCCCCCTACCCCGGCCTTTTGAGTGTTTTGTTCCCTGTGGACAATGGGCAGGAAAAGTGCCTCCCTGCCCACCCCCTACACTCTTCCCTGGCTGCCGATGCTTCTCACACAATCTCTGCTTTGTTTACTGGCACATAAATATTTACAATTCAAAGCCAGTATGGTTCCCAGCACAAACAGAAAGGAATATTCCTGAGAGAGTTCAGGGTCTTTACCATATGGATCAGGAGCTGTACTCCCCATGCAGAGTCACACACACACATTGGGCTGAGGGTCATTTGGTCAGGGATGGACTGGAACAGGGTAGCAAGAAAAAGGTCCCGCAAATAAACAGTTGCATAGAGAATGTGCCAAATATTATAGTTCAGACTACCTCACTGAAAGACAGATGTCAGCCTGTGTGACCTCTGATCAGCTCTGTGAATCTCAATTGATTTCCTGACATTCCTTGTCTCTCTGCATTACTTCCGATCACAAATTGGAGAAAGACTGCTCTATTCTCTCAGGCTGCTAACGAAATCTGCAAGCTGCTAAGTGCCCTGGTGAAGAAGAGAAGTCCCAGCCCCGGCACGTGGGAAAACACTGCTGCATCTTTACAATTTTGCAGTAACATACACAGTGCCAGCGCATACAGGAGGTAG